TTTCCTACAGAGGCAGATGTAATGATATATGAAGTGAAATTAAACATTCCACAGCCAAAGCTTCCTAAAAGCCAGCAGCCTCCGATCTTTGTGATTTGAATCGGCATCAACAGGAGTCCAACAAGAAAGTCTGAGACAGCCAGTGAGAGGAGGATCAGGTTGGTGGGGGTTTGGAGCTTCCTGAAACATAGCAAAATAATATGATAAAGTCATACAAAAATAAAATATTCTAGTATTAAGAATTATTTTTATATGTATCAAAATGATATTCAATACTTTTATGCTTTAATGCTAAGCCATGTACTACAGTACAAACCATTACTATTAATTTAAAGTAGATAAGGAGCAACAACTGTAGATCACATACTGAGAATTACAACAGGAGTTATTTATTATAAAGATAAACATTTAACTTGAATCATGTTTAATGTACAGTGCCTGAAGTGGGAGACTGCAATGATGACCAGCAGGTTGAAGGTCACAGTTATCAGAGAAATACTTGAGAGCAGAATATAAAGAAAAGTGTTTTCAGTATGACGTTTGAGTGGCTTTTTGCAAGAGTTGTTGATTTGTGGAAAACAGAGATCCTCTCCTTCCAGAGTTTTCATTATCAGAGTAATCAGCAGTGAGATAAACAGCAAACTCAGCCCTGGTTGCTAAAGGGCTAAAACGGTCTCTATTAAAGCTTCATTATCTTGCTCCTCCTACAGTGACTTGCAGTCATATGTTATCATTCAATACATTTACTCTAAGCACATAATGACATTTATTGCACATTTTCATGCCCTTTTATTTTCTTACATCATGTGTTTTAAGTGGATATACATGATTTTCTCTCTATTCTTACTTCTAAATGGAAGTTTCACCTTTTAAAAAAAAATGTCATTTGGACCTAAACTGCATACTTACCAACTTTCCTGATTTATGCAGGAGACTCCCGATATATCATGTTAAATCCTGCCGAGCTCCCGATCAGTCATTTCTTCTGCTAATCTCCTGATTTTTCAGTGAATGGAAACAGTCAGCTTGTGGGGGACATATCTGGGTTGCAGATACTGTGACATTTCACTGCACAAGCTTAATAATCTGTACACTCATTGATTTATCTCTGCTCTTATCAAACTAAACAATTAGTTTTTTAAGTTACATTTTGGCCAAGTTTTCTTTTTTTAATTGAATGAATGCGTTTGAAGTTCCAGTTCAGTGGCATGCTGCACAATGGCACATTTTTTAGCACTGTGGCCTTGCAGCAAAAGGTTCTAGATTCATTTCCAGACCTGGGGTCTTTTTGGATGGACTCTGCATGTTCTCTCTGTGCATGTGTGGGTTTTCTCCAAGTACTCTGGCTTCCTCCCATATTCCAAAAACATGACTGCTAGGTTAATTGGCAACTCATTTGCCGTGTGTGTGTGCATTGGCTGTACATCTTTGTGTGTATTAGTTTTGTCCTGCGACAAAAAAAATCACAAATAATTACCCCGTGGGCCACCACACCGATGATTAAAAAAAAAATCTCCCTAATATAGCATACACTTCCTTTGCACTTTTATGCATTTATCTTATTTAATATTTAAGAAAATAAACTTTGAACTGTCATGGGTTTTTCTTTGAACAAACACCTAACAGATTCTCTATTAGGACAAAGAATTAAAGTGTGATTCAATCTCAAATCATGGTTGAACAGATAAATATAGTATGAAAACTTTTAAAAGAAATATAAGGAATTTACAACTCACAATAATTA